TAAACCCCTAAACCCTAAACCAGGATCGTGATTTCAGGACCCAGAGCTGCTCTGGTGGGAGTCCTTCAAGCTTAGGGCCCGGTGTGTGCGGCTTAGGGTTGACTTTAAACGGTTTAGGGTTTAGGGTAAAGGTTCGTTGAACTTAGTAACTCGAAGCAGGGTTACGAATCAGGATCATATAGGTGCCTTAATAATTAGAATAAGGCTTTGGGGCATATTCTACAATCACCATACTCAGGAACCACCAAAACAGTATTGGTAATTATAACCCTAAACCCAAAACCCTAAACCCTAAGCCCCTATGTTAGCTGTACTTGCTAAGCCCCGGAGGCTTCAAGGAGTATGGAAAAAGTTGCTTACCCTAAGGGTCCATGTGCCCAAATGGTATATACATTGGCCCAAAGTACCTATATAGGGACTACATTAAGGCCGAAGTATATACTATTTGGGCACATGGACCCTTAGGGTTATAGTTTTCTGGTTTAGGGCTTAGGGGCTTAGGGCTGTTAAAGCCGCGGCAAGGCTTTAACTTTTCGAAAACTTTTGGCTCTCAACCCTTGCCCAGGAAAGTTCTGAAAGGGAGCCGTGCTTGCTTTTTAGTACAGGGTTCTGGGATATGATGCGGCTATAATGATACGGAATACTCTTTAAGGTGATCATGCAGGATTCAGGCCCTTATGTTATGCGTGGAGCGTGGCGGGCTCGATTTCAACGACAGAGATTGCGGTGTCTGAAGCACATAGACTAGAGGCGGGTGTTAGGCCGACAAACCCTACGACTGTCTGGATGGTCCCTGAACTTGCCCATGTAGGACCCCTCTCTGACAACCGGAAGAGTGCTGTTTTCGCGTCAGTCAAGTCATGTCACATCCGGAACGTGACACTTCCCATACTTCGCTCGGGATCTGATCGGTAGAAGTGCTGCAGCACCGTGTAGGCATGGCCGATGTAGCTCCGTCTCTCCTGCAAACCATACCTCGCAATGTAGCTACGCATTGCATCCATCACTGCACTCTGGTCGTCATTCCACTTTCGAAGAAAGCCCGCTCGGACAAGCTCCGGGCGCATGTCGGGAGCGCGGCGCCAATGGCCACTGGTATCATGCGATAGGAATGCTCTCCGCAGCTTCACAAGCACATCTTCTGGAGTGTCGCTGGGATCGGGCATTGCCTTACAGTTCTTGCGCAGCCAATACGAGTTCTCTGGCATGCTCACGAATGTGAGCAGTGCTTCTGCCAGGTCATTGCTGAATTCCTCGTCTAAATATCCCATCCTACGAAGAACTTCCAGCACCATGTCCTCTGAGTCTTGGACCATGAACGGACCCCCACCTCTGTAAATGGACCCTGCCAGCTGACCGCCTAACTGCGCATTGACTCTAATACTATTTTGTGCTTCCCGGTCACCGACAGGAAGGAAGAATGCAAGATCGTTGCGGTACTCAATCCACGCAGTCCCTGGGCCAGCATCTTTAATTCTCCGGTGTGCTGCTGCGCATCCGGCTTGAGCGGGGAAGACCGTGAGACGTCCGAGGTCATGAGCAAACCAGAACTTCGCCACAGACGGGATGAGGTAGCCACGCTCCCCGCGGTAGCCCCACTCCTGCAGGAAGCTTGTCAGCTCTTCCTGGGTACTTGTTAAGGAAATTAATTTAAGTTACCATAATAAGGACCTATGGTAAATAATATGGCATCCTTATTATTATAGTAACTTAAGGAAACCCTATCATTTACTATAAACCCTCATTTACAGTAGCTTGAACTAAATCCTTTTTGATAAGAACCCAAACCCTAAGATCTACTATATTATAAACCCTACCCTCATATTTATTATAAACCCTCTTTATTGTAACTTGAACTATAAATCCTTTTGACACGAACCCAGCTTCGGCGGCTTGATCTTCACGACGTGCAGCTTTCCACGGCTCTGCCGTCTCGACGCGGCCAGTGCCACCGGGGTCTAAGAAGGCTCCTGGCTTGTACCCATAGGCCCCCATAATAGTTCCCTTTTGGGGTTACCTTATAGGATTCTATATATGAGAAATTTTTTTGAAGATTCCCAAAATGCCACCTAGGCTCTGATTTTTGGACCCTCCGGGATTCTCCCCAAAGGCAGCACACGTGCCCCCGTCTCTTGGTAAGCCTGAACGCTGGAAACTGCACCGCGTGGGACGCAGACGACAAGATCTCTTCTCGTAGACACTATCTTCTTGACAAGGTCAACATACCCGGTGTGGGTTGCCAAGAGAGCTAAGCAGGCCCCATCTGCTGTCTCAGCCAGCTGCGACAACCTTGCTGTAATAGCCTCGTCAACCTCTTCTCCTTCCAAGCTTCGTTCGATCGGACAGAGACCTAGTTCATGGTTGGGGTAGTATTAAAAGTTTAAATTTATATTCCTTATTGGGTTTACGTACCCTTAAAAATGTAAAATGTTACCCAACTATGACAAAGAGACAGTTGTAAGGTGATTGCAGGAAGTCTGACCACTTCTTGTTCTTCTGCCTCTCCGGCTCTGCAAAGACAGAGGTGAAGACTTTCCGGCCTTCCCTCTTCAATTCTTGGATCGCCTGTCTGCAGATAGAAACCTGGGAGTTCCCGAAAATGCGGGGGGGTTCCGGATTTTTGGGGCCCTTACCATGCGGATCCTACTGTTTAGGGGTACTATGTTACCCGAAAGGTCCATGTATTTAAATGGTATATACATTGGCCCTAACGTACTTATTATAGGGACTACATTAAGGCCAAAGTATATACTAGTTGGGCACATGGACCCTCAGGGTTAGGGTCCCGCATCTTCGGAAACCCCCACCTGGCGGGTACCGCCATCCACTAGCAACTCGGCCTCTCCGTCTCTGTTTGCACGAAGACATACTCGGGAAGGCGTCGCCCTCAAAGCACGGCGATCGTGGACTTGCCTTACCTGTCGCTCTGGAGCTTGTCACATCTGACGAGGAACCGCTAATTCCGATCTGTCACAGAATGTGAATACCAATCATGTAGCCTCACAACCCTGAACCCTAGACCCATGAATACCTTGAAGCACGACTGTGTGTAGTTGCAGCTCCTACAGCACATACAGGCAAAGCTGCACGACGCTTATGGCCGAAGCAGGAAACTATTAGGGTTTATGGTCGAAGGTTCATTTATAGTTTGGCGTTTATGTTTGAGGGATTCGGATCGCAAGTACTCTAGCCTGAACAGTAAGCCGTAAATACTTATCAAATCTCGAATCGTGCCAAAGACGTTATGGAAATCCACGGTGCACCCAGACAAACCGGAAGGAAAAAGACACCCTCTGGTAATGGGCCCCTTAACCCTAAACCCTAAACCCTAAACCTGTTCCGAATCCTGAAGAAGTCCAAGGCCCATGAACACTGCCCATGAACGGATGGGACCATGAGACACATCAGAGATACATAAGAAACTCTGAGCCCAGTGCTCTGTAGTTATTATGACACTCTAAACCACAAAGCCTAGACTTTAAGGAAGCCTTTAAAGGAACAATGCACCCCAGGCCTGTCTCTTAAAGCATGTACAGCTTAGGCTTGGAAGGTGTCGGGCTTAGGGCTTTAAGGTTCCAGGGTTTAGGGTTCAAGGGCTTCGGGCTTTGGGGGTTTAGTGTTTAGGAGTTTAGGGTTTAGGGTTTGGGGTTTTAGGGCTTCGGGTTTAAGGTTTTATCAGGATTGCAACCTCCCCACCTTCAATCATTACAATCGGGGGCATAGCTTTTGGCCGCGAACAGCCGAAGCATCAGTCATGCAAACAGTTCAGTGATCCTGCATGCTTGGTCGCACACCGCGCATCAGAAAGACCAGTTCCAAGCCCAATCTCTGAAAGTTTGGGGGTTACCCTAAACCCTAAACCCTAAACCCAAAACCCTAAACCGTTATAAGGGTTAGGGTCTGCTAATTAGGGTTTTAGGTCGGGTGTGGGGTTTAGGGATTTCGTGCAAAACAAAACAAACCGCGAAACGCAGACGATGCGTTCCGTTCAGGGTTATAGGCTTTAGGGTTTATAGGGTTTAGGGTTTAGGAACCAAAATGCACCAAGTGGCTGGCCAGCAGCCCACTGCAGCCAAGAACGGCCACCAGACTTTGTGGCTGGATCCGAACATCTGATTTGAGGCCCTCCGACGGTTTAGGGTTTCGGGTTGAGGCTTCGTGTAGATCTCAGGCGTTCACGTCTTCAGCTTCTTGCGGTGGGTACTCCTGGATCTCGGTATGTCTGACTTTCAGTGTGGGGCTTCAGGTTGTGGGATGAGCCTTGAACATGTTGATGTTGATCTGTTCTTCATGGTCAGGAATTTGAGTGCTGAGTTTGACAGGTATGCTGGTTTGAAGCACTGATGCTGGTTGATTCGGGAAGCACTCCGAGGAACAGCAAGTTGTACTGCGAGGTCCATTGTCGTCCGACGACACGAATACTGGGCTACGTCGTGGTTTAAGTCTATCGCAATCCTGACCATCTTCATGAACATGATGATCGTGCTACTGATCTTCCTGATTTTTAGGACAAACTATGACCACCATCACCACGAACATCCGAATAGCTCTTCAGACAGTCATTAATATGCAGTGGGCGGCTGGATGCTACGCAACTTTTATATTCGTGTAACAATCATCGCAACTGCAACCTGAAGGGTAAGTTCACACAAGCAACAAATTGGCACTCATTGCTGTCACCACGACCATCGCCAATATCGATGCATGCTTTGTGAGATGGAAAACAGTGGTTGCACTAAAATCTGAATTGGGGGGAGTACCGGTGACCCCAAACCTTGCAAAATGGTGGGTTATGACCACAGTATTGTAAGGTAAAACCTAGAAACACTCGGTTTTTGAATCCCCAAATAAGCCTTGAGCCGCTTTGAGTGCTGAGCTGTGGTCGGATACACAGCGCTTCCGTCGCCGAGCATCGGCACGTCGTGTGAGCTGAAGCCAACATCGCTTTGCTTCGGTTGAAGATCGAGTCTTCCACGGCACACTCACAAGAAGCATACATGGGAGTTTTCGAAAATTAGGGGTACCGTATTTTGGGGTCCTTATAATAGGGGTCTTACTATTTAGGGTACTCTATTAGGGTCCCCTATTTTCGGAAACCCTCAAATAGCTCTCAACTCTAAAGATCTCTGTCTGTATTCGCGAGCCCTTCATGGGAATCCGACGAGTAATCTTAACGGACGGTCCTAAGGCTCGACTGTCTGACTTATCAAGCAAAAACGGAACCATGATGCCACTGCTTGCCACACGAACTACATGATCCCCGTTGAGCACTGTGGCTGCGAGTGATGATTCCTTGACACACACACACACGTGATGTGTTGAGTGCATGAGCTTGGTCGGATTGCGGTTGCTTTAGTATCACATATGCTTACCGATCTAAGTAGTATATTAGCACGACTATAGGAGCTAGCGCTGTGCCAGACATGCCGCCATTGTTCTTAGGGTGCGTACCACATAAGTACCTTGACCACTGGGGGAAAGGCCGTGTTTCAATGATGTCATTAGTCCCTCACAGGCAAGGTTTTGCAATTCCCACAAGATGTGGAATAACCACCAAACGGGTCAACTAAACGATGTATGCACACCAAACCACCATTACCCTTCCAGAGCCCCCTCGCAAAAAACTTTCTGTGGATGTCTTATTCATGTCTTCCCCAAGCCGAATCTTGAGTGTGCAGCGTGTAACCCTAAACCCTAAACCCTAAACCCTAAACCCTAAACCCTAAAGGATGTCTGTTGGGACCCTGCGAAATATGTGCTCCAAAAGATTCCCTAAGCCCTAAACTCTACAGCCTAAACCCTAAGTATCCTAAGCTCAGGGTACGCCCTAAACCCTAAACCCTAAACCATGTTCTTATTATTAAGGCCCCTCTGTTATCCTAAGCTCAGGGTAGGTTATAACTATAGTATAGTATACCCCCAACAGATGCCCTAAACTCCACAGCCTAAACCCTAAGTATCCTAAGCTCAGGGTACGCCCTAAACCCTAAACCATGTTCTTATCATTAAGGCCCCTCTGTTATCCTAAGCTCAGGGTATGGTTTCCTGCCTCCCTCTCGGCCGTGACGGAAGGTGCAGGCGTCTCTTCGAGCCTGGTTTGGAGTTTAATCTAAGGGTTGCTTTAAAGGGATCTATAAGGTGGTATAGGGTTTAGGGCTTAGGGTTTAAGGGTCCAGGGTTCTTTTAAAAGGGTTCTATAGGGCATGTAATGTAAGAGTTTTAAGGGTCGAGGGTTCTTTTAGAAGGGTTCTACAGGGCATGTAACGTAAGGGCTTAGGGTTTTGGGTTGACCTGGGAATCCAAAAAACCTACCGTTTTAAGGGCTCCTAGAGAGGATCTTTGGATAAGGTTCACGATCTTAGGGTTTAGGGGCTTGCCGGGGGATCCAAAAACCCACCGTCTTTGATGGTTCCACAAGGGGTCATAACCTACTATCTTATAGGGTTTGGGTCGCAGGTATGTAGTGTTGGCAACATGAGGCTGTGAAGTTTACATCGGTTCATGCCGTGAATACGGGTACTGCCCTAAGGCCAGGACGTGTGTTCTTTGCTTGTCTGTATATTTCCGATTGAACTCTAATCAATCTTCGTTCTCACTGTTATGTCATAGTATGTTCTTTTGCTTTAAATATAATATATCAGATTATACTATTGAGGGTGCGCCTGGCTTTCTGAATGCTCAGGGTTGAGCAACGAAACCCAAGGCCCGCTTCATCGCAGAGGATCACATGGTATATCAAAGCCAACCGATCTACTATATGGGTACATGGACCCTTGGGGAAATAGAAAAAACTCCGCTCCGATAAATACATGTAAAATAGAGAAGGCCGTAGGTTAAGACTTTCTAGAGTTCACCGTGGGTTTGTCTGCGACAAGTTATTTGTTTGGTTTTGGGACTGGAGTCAGCCTTGTCCACTCTTCCTTTGCGAAGCTTAGCACAAGCCTCGACTAGGTATCAACCTAATCTGAGACCTTAAAATCTCCAAGATTAAAATTCCCAAGGACCTAACCATTACTTACTTGGGTTTCGGATCAGAATTTTGTGGGCTAGTATGTGACTGTTAGTACTTATTAGATACTTGGAACCTCAGGGAACCCTGAATCCAACCGGTGCCCCTTTCCCATCCCTCAGCCAATGCGAACGAGCAGCTGTAGCTTCCTCGGGAATGCGCACTCTGAGATAAGGCTTGCTTTACGATTTTGGGCGAAGGGCTTAGGATTTCTTAGTAGCTAACCCTACGCTTCCGGGGACCTCATTATTGGGTCCTTAAGGGGTCTAGGGCCCTAACTATAAGGTCCTTGGAAGCATAGGGTAATGCTATAAACAAAGGTACTCCTAACTGTAGGCCTCCAAGCAGGAGACCCTCAATGTGCTCGCAGTAATCTCCTTGCGGTCCTCTTAAAGTTTGGTATTCGGAGGCTCATGGGAATTAGTAAGTACAGTTATAGGTGCTCCAACTGGGTTTCACAATCACTACAATTAAGTCTAGTTACCGTATTCACAACCCTGTTACTAAGTCCCATGAGAATCGATTTACTAAGTACTCAGTCGCTTGGTGCGGTAGCACTCTTGGAATGGGTTTA